GTGTTGGTTGATGAGAAAATGAACATGAGCCCAGGAAGCCAACCGTATCCTGGGCTGATCTAAAGGAGCGTGACCAGCAGGTTGAAGGAGGTGTTCCTGCCCCTCTACTCTGCTCTTGTGTGATCCCACTTGGAGTACTGTGTGCAGTTCTGGTGTCCTCAACATAAAAAGGACATGGAACGGTTGGAACAAGTCCAGAGGAGGGCCATGAGGATGATCAGGGGACTGGAGCACCTCCCGTATGAAGACAGGCTGAGAAAGTTGGGGCTGTTCAGCCTGGAGAAGAGAAGGCCGCATGGAGACCGCATAACAGCCTTCCATTACCTGAAGGGTGCAGATAAGGATACTGGGAAGGGACTCTTCATTAGGGACTGTAGTGATAGGACAAGGGGTAACAGGTTAAAACTTAAACAGGGGAAGTTTAGATTAGATATAAGGAAGAAATTCTTTATTGTAAGGGTGGTGAGGCACTGGGATGGGCTGCCCAGGGAAGCTGTGAATGCTCCATCCCTGGCAGTGCTCAAGGCCAGGTTTGGACAGAGCCTTGGGTGACATGGTTTAGTGTGAGGTGTCCCTGCCCAATGCAGGATGGTTGGAACTTGATGATCTTAAGGTCCTTTCCAACCCTAACTATTCTATGATTCTATGAAAATTCTGAGTTATGGAGGAGGTAACTGAAGTAAGCAATAATAGAAGACTTTAGGAATAGTCTCAAGTTTTTGACTTGAGAGAAATACAAATTGGAGAAGCCTTCTCTGTTACATGCACCACTGGTCTGTATCGCAAGCATCGCAAACTTTCCAAAAATGAGAGAAAAGGTAATTTTAACAAAAGACATTTATTTTGCAAAGTCAAGAGAATGGAAACAGTGGGACGGAAAAGACTATGACCACAGTCAGGTCTTTTACCACAATGTTGTCAACCTTAACTGAGTATTTAACCCGGTGTTAAGTAATATCATCAATGTCTGTGATCTTTAAAAACTGGAATAAACTTAACCCACATTGAACAATAGATTGTAATACATTAGATACCCCTCAATTTATTTGCAACTCATGGATGAAAAAAACCTATATTACTTTGCCAGGCTGCCCTGTTTGGTGGCTGAATTAGTCACAAAGTCCCATAGCCAAAAATCAGCCCTACATGATTTTATTTATTTTTCTAAAGCCAGCACTTGTACTCAGTAAATCAAACACAGGCCAGCTTTTCTACCACAAGTTCAAGCTCCTGCGAAAGCAGCAGAAGTAGAAGCTTTCTAGCTCTTCCAAGGTGTAGCACATCCAGCAATAGCACAGCCTTGTTTAGTCAAAGGTGTAAGGAACTCCATGAGCAGAAGTAGAGAAGTTTGGATTCTGAACTCCGGAGATTGCTGCAACCTGCATGTCACTTTTCAGTGCAACTGGACTCAAGGTATTTATAAGGTGCAGAATGAAGGAGGTGTGCAGAGCTCTCTGGGGAATGGTACAGGGTGAAGGAAAGGTTATAGGGCCATGAGGCCTTATTAAATGGCACCCAACTCAGTTTTCTTACCACATGGTTTTGCCTTCTAACCACAAAGTAGGTTTGGAAAAGGATGTATGTAGATGGTATATGAGCCATGTATTTCACCACTAGCTCACTGCTGTTCAGAGAAAGCAGGTTATGTTGGTACCGTTTGTCAAAGCAATTTTGTGAAAGCAGGAACATCATGGCACATACAGGTTCAAGAGCTTAATTTCCAGTCTCTGACACCCCTCTTCAATCTCCACCCTGCTGTTCTCTTTCTGAGCACCTGTAAATGGCAGTGTGTTTACTTTGCTACATCCAGTGGAAGATTCAAAAGATCTGCAAAATGCCACAGGTCTCCTACGCTAATCTTACATACACCTGTCCTAAAATTCAATAATTTCAAAGCATCTGTTATTGCAACATCTGGCTCCTTTTAAGACTTTTCTCACCAGTCAATCTCAAATGTAGTTTCTGACTCCGCCACTCAACTCATTGCCACTTTCCTCTTCAAGAAGTCTGAAAATAGTAACATAAAAGGAAAAGCCACTCTGCAAATGTACATGATGTGTACAGTACATCAGCTCTGGGATCCAGCATGAAATGTATCACTGCATTCACTGAAGTTTAGCAAACGTATGCATAACAAAATATAGGTGATACATGCATTGTCAGTGTATGTAAAACATGCACTTTATTCTGCACCCAGAGTGCAACATATTAGACCAGCTGAATATGCTAAACAAATAGCTCCACCTAGTTTCTAAATAATGTTATTTCTTAATTCACACTGATCATGTACTATTTGAATAAAACTGAAGGTGAACAACAAATTAAAGTAGAAAATACTTAAAACAATGCAGTAATGTGGGGTTGTCTCAACTGGACTTCTCACATTTCTCCATGTAAGCTTCCAAACTGGAGCTATACACCACAAATTCTTTCAACCAGCAAGTCCTCCTCCTCATTACAAATGCACTTAGGTGGGAAGGAGTGAATCTGCCAGGCTTCATCAGTGTTAAGAGGCAAATTTAGGCACACTTAGGACCAATGATCTTGAACTAACTTTTGAATCTGCCAGTTTCAGCTCAGCATGGGTAACAGAGGTCTTCACTTTCTATTCAGGTCTTCCTTTTCTCTTCCATTTCCTTTCAGATTCATCTCTGTGCAGGTGGTTCTATGTCCTTCAAGCTGTCCCCTTTTCCAACTCAAGATACATCTAAGGCTCTCAAGTTGTTGAGTCTGGTATTTTTTTTAACATTACTTTGTTAAGATACAGCACTTTCCATTTGTTCATGTAACTATAATTGTTACAACAGCTTTCAAAAGCTGTTGTATGAATCCAACTGCAGCAACCACTCAGCTGGACTGCAGACAGACTCCTGAATTCCAGCCAGAATATTTTCAATAGCTTTAACAAGATTCATCCTGTTATTAGCCAGGTTTCTTTTGCTCTTCTAGATGGCCATTTCAAAACCTAAGTGGTTACAAATTTTTCCCTAAATTCAAGGCTAAACTTATTCTTAAACAAGTTATGCTCTGTGATCTACCCAATAATTATTTGCATAATCTTTCAGCCTTGGATCATTTTGAGTTATTGTTACTAAATATTGTCCTTCAGCTTTGAAAGCTCATTTCTACAGTACAGTGCATGGGAAGTGTGAGATGAAAATATCCACTGTATCTATCCATTACTGTAAACTGGTGTGCTTTCACATGCAAAACTTCAATCTGAGTAGCATCACCAAAATCAGAGGCTTTCCAGGATGGCTTTGCTTTGGGCTAGTGATAACAGTGCATGGCATTGCTGATCTTGCCGCACATTTAGCAGCTAAGAGCCACCTTCTTTGCTAGCTCTCATTCACTCATCTTCAATGGACTCCTCAAAGCCAAACTGTGGAAACAAAAGGATATAATGCTCTATAACATACTCTTATTCAACCTTGAATTTCATCCCAAGCTGAATGTCTGTTTCTTTATGTTACAGAGAGGAGAAGAAACTCACAGGCTGGCTGCTATTTCATGCTGCTTTCCCATAGTGATAGGAAAGCTAACTTGGTATTTTCTCTAGGGAGTTTTGAAGAGGGGCTGCCTGGTGGATCTGTTTACCATAGGTGGGAACTGATTTAATGGATGCTTATAAAAATTTCCTTCTCGTAAACGTTCATGGAGAAAGATGACTTCACCGCCCTATACACAGTGGCGAAGCTTGGAACTCCTCTCTGACGACTGCATTAACAGAAATATTGCCAAAGTATTTTCTTTTTTTTTTCCCTACTATAGGTTTTGTATAGACTGACTATGTAAGAACAGAAAGAGGATTTTAATAAAACGTCCTCAGCGAGCTGCACAGGACGCATTTAAAGGGCTTGGTTTTCTAATTATATACCAGCAGGTCACATTTACTGTCACAAGATGGCAGCATAGAATAAGAGATACTGATAGGTTGTGTTTCATTTTTGATTCTATACTATAAATGTTGAATTTAGCAGGGAACAACATTAAACATTTCGCCTTTGGTGATAAATTTATTAAATACTTTACAGAAGCATAGTCACCTTTTTATTTCACATTCTCCTACAGAATTCTTTGGATTTTCTTCACAGTGAGTCTTTCAAAGAGAAACTGTATTTAGAATCAGACAAGTGCAAACAATTTATATCCACATCAGAATTATAGCAGAGTGAGTGATAATCCAACTCTTGATAGAACTCTTCACTGGCAACTACACAGATCTGATAGAAATCCACAATGAAAAGAAATAGTACAGTGAAGCGAAAGATGCAGTTTTAAAAATCAAGGGATTACTCATAAATACAAGCCTGGATGCATCAGTGACACAGAATAATGAACAGAGTTCTGTTCTGAAGGTTCCTGAGGTCAACAGAGAGCTAAGAAATGCCATAATTAAAAAGAATATATGCTATCTCAGGTGTGCGCAGCTCCTACAGTATACTGGCTTAGTCTGAATGTCTCCCACAACTTATCATCCCTGCAGAACCTGCAGGAGCCAAACAACAGGGGGGATACACTGCCCAGAGCATATTTTTCTCTTGCACCAAATATTCACCCCATACTGCTTTGACATGTCTTGCACTGACCTCTGCAAGCCGTGGTGAGACTCAGTCTGTCAATACGACTAGCTGCACTCCAGTATTTTGGGAAGCCTTTTGGTTTTGCCTTGTTAGCCTAGCTGGGGCAAGTCTGTAGAATACAAAATATACTTAATTGCTGGCTGTTTCCACAATTCACAATGCTTTGTATTATTATGAAAGATGTTAATCACTGTTAACATGGATTGCTGGCTTGTTATCATTATTACAAGTGTGAGGATTCAATGGGATATATCACTAACGATTCCAAAATGCCCAAATGAAGAATGCATACTCAGACTTAATGGAATTTCTTCATCGCAGAAATGATCAGTCTCTGCATTTTATTTTTTTTTTTTTTTGTCCTTCAAAATGGCATAAATTCAGAACCTGCAAATTAGGAATAAGTAAGAGACCCACAAGCAATCTTCTCCTTCTGACTGCCGATGTAAAGAAAGCCACCCAAGACCACATGGAAGCAGAAGCCCAGGTGAAGTCAGATGTTCTGGTACTGCCTCCAGTCTGGATCAGATTACAACAGCAGCATGTGGTAGAACTCAGTGACTGCTGATAAGCAAGACATAAATGACTTCTGCCAGCTTGAAATCCTTTTGTCAAAACTGCAAGAGGCAGCTGAAGCAGAAGATAGCAGAGAACTGAAGTGTGCCAGAGCTAGTTCTCTACTTGACCTAGCTCACTCACGGAACTGCAAACATGGAAAAGCAGCACACAGCCACTTTAGGGCTCTCTTTGTTTTTAAGGGGAGCACTCAGTTACTGGTAATTGCTCATTGTGTGACCCTCAAAAGATCTATTGTACTGGAATTCATAAAATCTATGCATGTTTTGGTTAAACAGATAACATAAGCATGGCCATAGCTGATGAGAACTCTACTTACAATGAGGCAGTATTCCGTCTCCAGCATCTTATCTTTAATCCTAGTTGATTTCCTGGGAGAATAGAGCAAGAGATCCTGAAGTTTACCATGCTAGAATAAAAAGTGTTAGGTAGATTTTCCTAACTCCCACCAGTTAAAAATTGGTTCATGGTCAAAATAATGAAGATTAATCCTTACCACAGAAGTGAATCTTTGCCAATGCAATTCTGAGTATTTTATCTTAATTTTCTGTTTGAAGCTGTTGTGTACCATAGCCACATGGCGTTACAAGAGCTTGTCTGTATCCCTATTTTGACTTAAATTCAGTTGTGTAGAGGGTCCCTATACACTTCAGTAGATTTTTTTAAATACAGTTATTTCTGGCAGGCATGATTACACAATCTTTAGAGGACAAAGTGAACCCTTACTAGCTTCTTTCTGAGTGATTACCTGACACTGACATAAATGAACTTAGATACCACCTTTCTCTTTAATTAGAATGGGAATTAATGGTTCTTGACAATTTATTGTAGCTACTTATGTGATTCTACAAAAAAGCAAAACCAAAATTTTCATGCAGGTCCTTGTATTTTAAATCCACACTTAAGATGATAGAACGATTAAAACCTGTTATCATTTTCAAGAATAAACGAGAGTCGTTGCACTTTGGAGAATTTAAATACTCATACATCTGCCTGTGAGATCAGCAGCCTTCACATCCATCTTCTACTGAGGAAGAAATCCTCCTTGCTTGTAAAAAGCACCTTGTCTCTTCCCTTTTTTTGTATGAACAAAATATGCATATTACAGTAATGATTTTGTTACCTTTCACAGCTATGTTCTTCATTCCCTTGTAGCTCACTCAGTTTTAATTATCATCAGTTGATTTTTTCACTTGGATAATATCCAGTTTAGACTGGAAAATTTCTGGAGCAGAATCTTGTGCTTTATTTGTAGGGGAGATGCTATGAATTTCTGTGACAGTACATAAACAACTGCAACATTCAAGAAAAGGAAATCCAGACACAAATCAGAGTTATGGTATTTTCCTTCCTGTTGTATTTCCTGTTTGGGGATTTCAGAGATATTAACAGAGGTTGCTGAATCAAGCATCACAGTTCTGTGAAGAGGAGGCATATATAATAGTATCATCATTTTATATATAGGGAAAAAGTGCTATGGAAATTACTTCTAGAATACAGAAAATAAAAGTTGATTCCTCATTAATCATAAACTGTTTTACTCTCCTCATGTTTTAAATTATCATTTGTAAGTCTTCTACTTCAGAGAAATCTGTTACTTAGCTCCTCTAGCTGAGAAGCAGGCAGGCTTTTCATTTGGTTCAAATTGATGAGATAGCTCTTTACTAAAATAGTCTACTTTTTGTTCTGTGCATTTAAGTTCTAGTTTGATTCAAATGTCAACAAATTGATCCTTGGCAAACCAAGCTTTCCGCTATACAATAGCATTTCCTCATTCAGCTAATTGCTTCACTGTATTGGTCAAAATATTGCTTTTAAAGTAATTGGGGGCTTACATATCCATGTTCTTTATGCAAATTAAAATAGCTATACTTAGTAAATGGCAAAACTGCTTGTTACAGCTGCTCCCAAGCTGAAAATCCACTTCCCACAAGAGAAACTTCAGTTGTTAACCCACTTCTGAATTTGTTACAATTTTTAACTGTGTGTGTCCAGAATGACACTCCTCAGCCCAGATCTAAAATTCTAAATTCACGTGACACCCTTGCAAAAATGTTTGTCACCTCTAACTGCCTCTAACCCAGTAAGACACCATGCTCTCGCTTTCTCAGTACTGAATTATCTCCTCAACTACTTCCTTGAAAGCTCACAGAAAACGGGCTTTGTTGCACAGAAGGAGCTGGCTCAGGATCAGTCTACTCCTTAACTTCCTAAACCAGCTGGCTTCTAGCATCACAGTGCTTGAACGGTCATTGCAAACAAATGGGAGGGTGCTCCTCTCTCCCAGGACACTAGTTATTTTCCAGAGTGAAACACTCCACTCCTGGCTGTGCCCTCAGGACACTATGATGCTGATCATGCAGCTGATTCAGAAAGGCACTACACCCGCTCACGCAAGTTGGGCTAGAGATGTAAAACATTCAGGCAAAGTTTTAAATATTTGGCTGCTGAGAACAGGAACCAAACATGGCTAAAAAGGTGAGAACAGTATCTGCCATGGAGGCACACAGCAGGAAGGCAAGGGTGAACTGACACCATGAGCAATCCTAACTCCCAGCATCAGAAGCCAGGAATATGCTGTGAGTAGGAAAAAGTAAATCAGAAGACACAGTACTTCTGTGAATATTTTTTTCTTTTTTTTTCTTTTTTTCCTATTAATTCTCAGGTATCACCTTATTAGTCTTGCTTGTCCATGGGCTCCCAATTCAAATGCACGCTTGTGCTCTGCAGACACATCAGGACATCTTACTGGATCTTTACATTAACCATCTTACTGGAAATGCAAAATATTTCTATTAAACAAGATGTGCTTTGTATATTACCATAAAGTATGCTTCTTGTAATTAAGATGATAGTTCTGCTTTCATCCAAAGGGCAACACTCAGACATTCAACTGTTTTAATTGATAACTCTCTTGATTTCAGTTCAAACAATCTCACTTAAGGAAAGGGAAGAATGATTGTTATGGATTGTGAAATATAGGAGTACTGGGAGGGAACTGAATGTGCCAGCTGGGAATATACAAAGGAGGGAGTGAGTCATGTAACTTCCAGTCATTTGGAAAGGGGTCATCCTGACTGGGCAGGGCTGCAATTATTAAAATTTATGTATCAAACATTTATTCCTGAGTAGAATGAATAAATGCTCTGCTAGCAGATCACAATGATCATAAATGATCTGCTAGCAATGCTGTGATAAAGGTTTTGTCAGCGATTATAGGGATTTATAATACAGAACTAAAATAGCGCATCCTGGTCACTAAAATAACTCTAGAGTCAGACTTTGGATCAAGTTATTGTAACCAAGCAGCTGACTAATGCCCACAAAAATATCCACATGCACGGGAGTCACCCTTATGCAAGCTGGTTGGGTAACTGCTTGTCTAAGGCTCTTTTTGCTTATAAACATCGCTATAGAACGTATGGGTACTGGGTTACGTGAACACATTTCTGTGAGCAAATGCTCTAAACAAACACATGAACATCAGTGCATACCTGTGCAAGTTTCTTAGCCAAAACAAGCCATTAGATTGTAAAGAAGCATATATTCTTAAGGCTGAGTTAGAAGTTAATCTAGTACTCCACAGTAACTCCCGGTAACAGAAATGCTGACAGTACTTTAGATGAAATAGTGTTAAGAGACATAATTTCCAGGACTTTTTCTTAGTCAGCTGCCATAATTAAAAATGTGCTTTCATATGGTTTTCCAAAAAGAAATACATTTCATATTGTTTCAATTAAATCGATGGATTCTTTAACCATTTGATAGCTTCCCCAATACCTATACTGTGATATTCCAAATGTGAGCTCAGTGGCTGACATGGAACCTCAGCTTTTACCCTTGATGACCCTCCATGAGTTCTATCAGCTCTTAATGTGGCTTTGATGCATGTAACTTGTAAATTACAGGATCTCACAACAATAACAATTTGAAAATGGAAAGGAAAAACATGTTCAGTTAATGCTCTGCTAGTTGATGTAAATGTAGGGCAGTCTGGGTTACTCTGCAGTAATATCTAGCATTTTAAGTGCCTTTCTTTCTGACTTGCCATGGCTGAAAGAGCAATCCCAAACACATTCCAGCACATCTTATTACTCATCAAAGTAGAACAATCCTCCTGAAGTTCCAAATGGTAATTGGATTTGTACAGAGCCTGCCAAATTAAAATTGGCTGCTTTAAAATCTAAATCTTGAGCAAAAAAAGTATGGGAAATTTTGAGTTCCAGCTGACAATGTACTCTTAGCTCATCATACTACTATAGGTCTGGTGCTTGACATAAGAAATCACCGTTGTTAATTATTAACTGCGCTATCAATAGACACAATTTGATATATTGATAGACACAGTTTGTAAATACATCAAAAATCTACATCTGCAAACTAATACATAAAAGATTATGCGGACTATATTGAAGTCACGGAAATTAAATGAGACTTAAATTTTACTCAAATGCTGTTGTCATGTTTGACAACTGAATTGTAAGAGTTAATAACAAAAACAGAACCCAGTCTCAATGGGTGACAATTATTAAAAAAACTTGCCTGAAAGAGACAAGCTGATTTTAGAATATTTCTAACATTGAAACGATACTTAGCTCCTGAAGTTGATTTCAGTATCCCATTGTCATGCATATGTAAATAAACATTTGTGCGTGTTTATAAAAACAACATCTGTGTTCATGAAGAGCATTTCTGCATAAAGTTTTTCACCGTTATTCTGTGCACAGTCATCTGAAGCATTGTTTAAATAGCAAGTAACAAGTAAACAACACACTTTTTCTTTCAAACTTAAAATAATCCAAGAACAGTCCCAACCTCATGAAAATTGCACGAGTCCACTAAGGGTCATGAATTTCTTTTGACATACAATGACTGAAGGTTTGGTCTCAAAGCCATTAGTTATACATTTATAAGCAATACATTTCTACATATGCCACGGTTCATATTTTTCACATGCAAGTGTAATTACAAAATGAGCCATGATTTCCAGAAACAGAAATCTAAACTAGGGGTCCCAAAACCTCTCAACTGATTCAGCTTGCCCTACAGGAGGTTCAACATTTTTTAAGAACACATTTTTACTGCCTAAAACCAGAAAAGCACTTACCCATATGTTTAAATCTAACACATTTGAATTATCTTCTGAGTAGAGATGCTTTCCAGAAGTGAGAGACTTAAGATCCTATCTAGAGATCTCACAATCTAATTTTAGGCACAAAGCTTGTATGCATGTATATATCTGCATAGTTTATCATAATAGAAATGCTCTTGCTGAGCTGAGATTCTCAACTGATTAAAATCAATAGGATGGATTACCACAACTCTGATTGCTAATGATTCTCAGAGATTTCCATCTCCACCTGGGTTTGGCATGACTGAAAACTCACATTGTAAATTCAGGCACAAACCCCAGGATACTCGTAATCTGGGATACCACTGCTGCTCCCTGAACCTGAAAAATTTGAAGAAATGGTAGACTGAAACTTACACGTTCTGTCTGATTCTGGGAATTTCATCCTTAGGTACAGGAAACTCATGTTTTAAGTGCTGGGACACTATTACCCAAGTGCTTTTCTCTTCTCAGTTCATGACTTTTGGAGCTTTCATAACCATTTTTCTGTCTGCATTTTCTCTACTGATTTCCTCCCACCTATTTCCCTCACACCTCATGTCTGGCTTAGCTCTTCTGAGGAAGCAGCTAAGGATGGAGTCAAAGGCAGCTGCACCTTTGTAACACTTTAAACCATCTTGTCGTGTATACAACCATCTTTAAATTTTATATAGTATAGCTACTGATATGTAACAAGAAAAAATGGGGAAAGAAGAGATAACAAAGCCTTTCTTATAACACTTCCAAGGTTGTGATAAAGTTACTTAGAATCAAAGAAATTTAGGAACCTTCCTGCTACCTTGTCTGCAAATGTGAAAGGTTCGAATCCTGTGGGAAATGCCCCATTTATCACACAGTTATGCTGATGTTGAAAAGACCATTTGCTGCTTTTCTGACGTAATAGGTGTCAGAGGTTCAGGTATCTGCACTCTAGTACAGGCAGCAGTTTAATTATTAGTTGTGGTATTTTGGTCAAGGTATAAATCCTCGAGAAATCTTGACACTGAGAAATGGAGATCAGACCATGGGCAAGAAAAAACTGTCACTAATGCTCACAGAAAAAGTACTGCCTTGATAAAAAATGCTCGAGATGATACCTTATGGGGGAAGAGCTATAAAACAATACACTAGGGAACATCCAGAAGTCTTAACAAAAAAAAATCAAAGAATATTACAAAAATTAAGGTAATGTGAGCATGTTTTTTAAAACCTGTAATACTGAACTAACTGCCTGTACCTCTGCCCTTCAGTTCTCCTTGAACTATGGTTCCAGGATAAGACACCACATGAAAGTACCTCAAAAGAATTATTTCCCCAAAAAATTTCAAAAATGACAGGTGTGGAGGAAAATCCTGTTTATTTTAACTGCACAGCAGCTCCCCTCCTATATAATACAGTATCCAAAGCAAACAAATAATGGAAATGTACCAGGAAGAAGTCAAACCCGACTTTCCTGTACTGTAGTATTGCATAACAGTATTTGTAATTGCGTTATTCAAGGACATGCTGATGTTGAGTAATGCCCTTAGCTTACATAGGAGTCAACCTAATCTTTAGTGAGCCTACAACTCCAGAAAATATCTGTAAACTCTAGAATTGTAAATTTCATATTGAGGTAAGGAAAAAAAAAATTACTAAATGAAACATTTAGAAAAATGAGGGTGCTAATGTCTATACCACAATTTCTTGTATTGGTTATTTTTCATAGATTAAGATTATCCCATGCAAAAAATTCATGTGCTGGTTAGACGCTGAACATAAAATGGAGGAAAAAATCTTTACATGGTTTTTCTCCTGTGGGCGTAAACAGATATTTTTAACTTCAGCTACCAAACAGAACTGACTGAGACAGAATTAGATTATACTTCCAACCAATACTTTGGTACCTTGCAAATATATGACAGCTGCGATTCTGGAAGATTTAGAACTAAGTTTGTTAATATCAGTTGTTGCTAAGAGATGCATTGCCTTTAGTAGAAGAATGAATATGCATCCACATACTAAGTGGATTGATGAACTAAAAGCCACAAACCCAACACAAAATAATATGTTTATATTACAAAAGTGCCTGAAAATATTTTATGGCGGGGAAAAAATCAGCATTATTGCACTTTGGGTTCATCACATGCTGTGCTGACTTTCCTTCTCAAAGAAGGTGTACTCAGTGATGGCATTGTTAAAAATGAACAAGGACTGAAAATCACATTGAAGACTATAACAATATAATTCTTTCAGGAGACTCAAGAAATTAAACCATTAAGCAATACATTTTTAGTGTCTAGTATTTTTTGAATTATACTGGAAAGTCTAAAGAAGTTTGAGTCTTGCTGACAAAAAGCTTACAATGGTAGAGAGGTAGCAGATGTTTTCACAGAGTTATGAGTATTGCAGCTGCTCATAACTGTTTCATACAGCTGTGAGTGCTGCATTGTTATTATCATCATTATAGAACCTGCCTCTTCTTTATTGCTAGTTAATGCATTCTCCAGTTTCACTTACCTCTGTTTGGTACAGTGCACTGAGTTTCTACAGTTCTCTCCAGACTTCTTCTGTATTTACTAACATATGTCCATAACTTACTTCTCATATGAGTTATAGATAGTGAATGCTCCATCCCTGGCAGTGTCCAAGGCCAGGCTAGGGAGGGTCTTAAGCAACCTGGACTAGTGGAAGGTGTTCGTACCCACGGCAGGGGGTTTGGAACTAGATGATCTTGAGGTCTTTTCCAACCCATTCAATGATTCTATGAATCTATAATTTTATTGACAGATATTTTTTCCATGTTTATATTGCTCTCTAAAAAGAAGACCTTAGTTGACCTCTTCTTAGCATACTTCACTGAGACCACTATGTTAAGAGGGGATATCTGAGTTGGTGGGGTTAAATTACATATATGGCAAGGTCTGAAAAGACAAAAAAGTTCAGCCAGCAAAAAGCATTACAAAAAAATATTAACCATGATCTGAATCTTCTTCTTAATAACCTTCTGTTTGGTCTTGGGGGGGGGGGGGAAATCCATTAACAAAAAAAAATGGAGTTTTAGACCATGTAAAAATGTTCTTTAGAAAAAGACCATCTTCACTAGGAGACAGAGTAGTTGCAGCAATAAGTACTCAGAGACTAAAGCACAACTGGACACACTATAAAAGTTTTAATACTTGACAGTGCCAGAATGAACTTTCCTGACATCAAATTAGCAAAAATCCCTCTGTGATGATTATGTATAAGACACATTTTAGGTATATAAACATTACTCTAGCATATGGAAGATTTAAGACAGAAAATTAAGTAGCTTGCATAAAGCCCCAAAGATCAGCACTGCTGACATTTCTAATAAAATTCAAATAACTCTTACTTCCTTGTCTGTCTTAACTGCATGACTATCCTAATGATTTTTGTTGTTGTATGAATGAAACTCCTTTTTCTCCTTGGAGACAGCCATTATTTTCAGCCAAACCTCGTCTTTCCCCCTCCCCCCACCGGCTAATGATCTCTTGGAGAAAAAAAAAGCAGAAATCCAGCTGTGGTAACATAGGACTGTGTCTTGCTCTAAGGAAACCGCTTTAGGAAGAAGATTGGTGAATGGTTATGAAACTGCAGAGTGGATTCCAACATGCTGCAGAGTCATTCCGTAGCATGTCTCACAGCAGATAAGCTATGGAAAGCAAAATACAGCTTCTCAACAGCTGACGGTCCCAGATAACTCCCAACAGCAGATATCATAATGAGCCACTACTTCCTATATCAACACCACTAACATTTTTTTCACTAAACAACTTTTCCCGTCTGACTTGGCTAGATCAAGGACTCAAATATCTAAAAACTGGATTTTGCTGCAGTTGGGTTGACTTTCTGGAAGTGGCCACCAAGACAAAATACTATGTTATAGTTGAAATACGCGATTGAATGTAGAAAGGAATGCACTAAAATTCTGACCGATGGTGAGTTACAAATTCAATGTAAAGTACAGAAAAAAACATAAAGAAAGACTACGGGTAAAAACTTGAGGGTAGCTGCTAAGTGTGCTTTTGAGGCATCAAAAATACAAGTGAATTCTTAGCTGAATCATATTGCAGTCAAACTATTATCATGCCTTCAGCTGAACTACTTCAAGCAGAGGACTGGAAGATCTTGTAAACTAAGCAAGGTTATCTTGGGTCAACCTGTGAATAGAAAATGTCTGTGCTATCACAACTGCTGCCAGCAGTTTGTTATATAGCATTTCAGTGAGCCTGAAGGAGAAATAACATAGCTGGTTGTTAGATGATGTTTGATGCTACGAACAACTTCTTTTGGGTACGACTGATAACAAGGTTGTGACTGTTGTCCTTCAATATCATGCACTGCATCTTACCGATGGATATAGCTTTTATACACAGTTGGAAGGAGAGAAGCAGAGTATCTCTGAGAATGTCATGTAACTTTGCATGGTCTGCTACAGGACTCCAGCTGGGGGAATTTTTCAGCTCTTTCTGGAGCTCTTAGTTCTGCATCCTGTTTTTACAACAGCTTTTTACATCTGCAGAAAAAACATGGGAGAAGAAAACCCAAGATAATGATGTGTAGTAGCTATCGCTGTTAGCTCCTGGTATGGTACTCAATACACATTATGAGTGCCTGTAAAAAGCGCTCCACTGCGTGGATGTCAAGACCTGGATGAATTCTACCAGGCATTTAGAACCACCAACTATTTAGAACCACTAATGGCAATGGAAATGGGCACCTCCAGTCTATCCAAAGCCTGAAATGCTCTTTGAAACAACTGTACGAGAAACTTATAGAGGAAAACTACTATGCCTTTCCAAAGAAAGAATAAAGCAGTCTTTGTGTTCCCAGGAAAAGTGGCTAAATATTAAGCTGACTGAATCTGGCCTTTGAATGTATGATAAGAACATGAGAACTGCATGTGTGCACTTCAAATTCAGGCCAGGTATTTTGTCCTCATGCCCATGCGAATTCCCCCCGCAAACAAGTGCTTTACTGTTATCTTGAGCTTCCTGCTTTTTACATTCATGTTTACTCTTGAATAAAGTATAAGCACTTTGAGACAGGAACAATTATTTTTCACTAGTATGGCCTCTGATAAGCCTTACCACTGCCAATATCATGCTGCCAGTAACTAACAGCATTTCCAGCCTCAGCATTTCATGAGCCACAAGACTTCAGACACTGGTTCTTGGGCTGGTGGGGCCTGTTGACTTCTGTGGGCTCCTTGTACTCAGTCACCTGCCCTCCTGTGCCCAGCAGAGCATGGTGAGCTCCGTATGAGCCAGATGGCTGCTGCAGCACCTGCCTACATGCAGGTGAGCCTGGCGCTGTGATTTCTAGACGCCTCTTGCCCAAGAGCTACACACACCTGGGAGCACAGGGCTGCAACCTCAAGTGGCCAGTCTCATTCATTGAAATCCTCTTGGCTTTAGAGGTAATAATTCACCTCGTTTTCCATTTCCTAACAAGGTCTTTATTTGTGCAGTGTAGATTAAACACGTTATTTGCAACTGTTTTGAACCACTGTTTCCCAGCCCGTTGTAGTGGGTGAAACCGTGGGCACGACACACATTTCTTATAACAGCAGAGGGCCCGCTGGATCTCTGCGCTAACACAGGCATCTTTCTCTGTGCCTAGCAGCATCTACAGTACGAGAACGCGCTTATGAAGCCGGGCAGAAGAAGGCGCTGAGGCGCCACTGCAGAGCGGCGGCCCTGGCACTCCCGGGGTTAACTGCGGCGCCGCCACACCAAAATGGCGCCGCCCGCCTCCGCCCCGCCCCGCGCGCTGGGCAGTCGCGCGGTGGCCGTGGCGCGCCGCTGTCGCACGGTTATGAGTCACCGCCAGGGGCGCGGGGCGGCGCGCGGCTCGGGGGCTGCGGGCGCGGGGCGGGCGGCGCTGCTGCTGGCGGCGAACATGGCCGGCGTTCCCGACGCCGCTGCCTCCGCCGCCGCGCCGAGCAGCAGCGGGGATGGGCGGCGCGGTGGCTGCCCGGAGCAGCAGGAGAGCTGCCGGGATGAGCCGAAAACTCTCTGGGGGAGCAGCGAGCCGTGGCCGCCCGCCCCCGGCCCGGGGCAGCTGTCTCCGCAACAGCGAGCGGAGACGCTGGGCTTCTACGAGAGCGACCGGGGCAGGAAGAAGAAGCGGAGCCTCTCGGGTGAGGGGCGGTGGCGGGGAGAGAGGCCTCTTCCCGCAGGCCTGGGCGGGTGGAGGGCAGCGAGGGCCCCAGGCAGGGTTGTCCCGCTCGGGAGACCGGGATGGCCGGGGCGGTGGTGCCCGGGGCGGGCGGTGCCTCCGGGGCGCGTCGCCAGCTCTGGCTCCTCAGCGCCGGCCGGGCCGCCTGAGGGACCAGGGCCTGATGGGTGCCCGAGGTAGGGCCGAGGGCGCCCTGTGCGAACTTTGTCGAGCGACTTAGAAAAGTGCGCTGGGACCTGGCGAGTTCGGGAGCGGCGGCGTTCGGCCGCTCCGGGAGCGCGGGCGAGCAGGCGGGGAGCTCCGCTCCGGCTGTGCTGCCTCCGCTCTCCCTGCCTTAAGTTTCGGCAGAGAACTCGCCTGTGTTGGTGCCCCTTAGCGTGATTCGTGGTGTCCCCGCTTTCCACACGAGCGTGTTCAGGAGGAGGAGCGCGGGTCTCTGCTCGGTGTCACGCAGCGTGCTGGGAGGTGTTAACATGAGCATTACCTGTCCCACTGTGATACACTGAAGCGGAGACTCAGGCTGTTCGGTCGGTACCTGCCAAGGAGCGAGAGCAGCGAGCGCTTCGCACACCGGTTCCTGACAGGAGCAGGGGACTTACACATGGGGCTGGATTTCCTCAGCTCCACGGCAGGGAGAGCTGCGGGCGCGATGAACTTTCTTAAGTACGAGCAATGGTCGTCGTGTTAAGGGGTTCTTGTTATATACGCGAGTTTTGAGCCTTTGCCCCTACTACTGTATGTAACAGTACGGTTGAAAGTTGTGTGCAGATTATTTCAAAGTAAATGTATACTAACTGAAGACTTTATAGGGAAAAATAGGGAAAATGTCATGGTCTTTGCTATCCATCTGCAGCTGTATTTACATTTACACTTGAACTGGGCTTTTTTTAGGTATCTACAGAGTAATTTTTTAAAGAAGCCCTGCCTTTTTTTTTTTTTTGTAATAATGATCACTCTGTGTGACAGGGTTGATTCGGTGTTGGTAAGATCATAAATAACTTTATTAGCACTATGTTCTTAGTTGTGCTGCTTGCTGAAAACCTGGGCAGTGCTGAAAGTGGTGTTCAGGTGTCCAGGCTGTCTGCCGCAGTGTTAGTTTGAAGGTGATCCCACAGGTGTTACCAAATACAGAAAAGAAAAAGTAGGAATTAGGATATAACTTGAAGAATCTGCCACCAATTGAAGGCTTTCCTTCTAAATTTGACAGGTGCTGTGTCCCTTTCTGACATGTATTATGTCATAGGAAATGCAGTATCATTGACTGCAGTTCTGGGGTGTTGATGAAACTGAGGTAATTTCCATAGTTGTAAAGAATTGGCTTGATCGTTATGAATTGCTTTTTAGTGGGGAAAAAAGAGTGGTCAAGATGCATACTAATGTTCCTGAAAGATGAATAAATAGCTTAGTTAAAAGTATGGAAATTGTTAACTTGTGTGCATGCACAGGAATTCCTAACTGTGTTCCAGAAATTGATCATAAACTTTGAAATAGTTAAAAACATTGGTGCTCTCAGGCTCTTCAGGACAGGAGAACGTTAGAAGAACAGGTTTCTTGGTAGAGCAACTGAAACTTCTAGCTCATCTAGTGCTAGCAGTTTGTTACACAATAGAAGAAGGGATTTTTCACTATACAGAGTGGTTGTTTAGAGGAGAAGGAAATAAAAATACCCCACCATATTGTGCTGGTTTAGTCTTGATTGATTTAGTTGAGTCTTTATGATAGAAGTGTGGTTTTAGGATTAAGGGGAGTGAAATTTGTTCCTGTAGTAGTTGCATTTAGGATTGAGGTTATGATTGTACAGCAGTAGAAGCGTATCTAGGTACGGTACGTTTCACATTTGCAGAAATTTTCCCTTCCATTTCTGGTTAATGGTTATCCTTTGTGTAGCTATGCATCGAAGTATAACTTAGGTAAATTATTATCTTCTTACTTTGAAGGAACTAGTGGCCTTTTATGTTTTGAATATGCTTGTGCTTTTCTGTCCTGAGGTGGGGAGATAAATGAGAATAAGCATTAAGAGTCTGCTGTCTGAACAGTTTGAACGTAGTGTTTAAACACAATCTAAAACTGCAAAATAGGGGAAAGTTGAAGTGGAGAAGGAATTTGAAGTAGGAATTAAAGCGTTTACTTACTTTTAGAAGAAAATGATGCTTTGATAGCAGAATTAAACTTTTTCAGGTGATTTATTACTCTGTCCTGCCTTGGTGTCTCATGCTGTTCTTCTTGCTGCATTTGTCCTGCAGGGCTAGCCACTGATTTGTTTCACAGCTGACGCAGAGATAGGGCTAATGTAGAGTGGCAGTAAGTGCTCAGAAAGGAGGTGGCTGAACAACTGTGGGCTTCAGTGTACCCCCTCTCACTGC